AAATCTTCGAAAGCGCTTGTTGTCTTCTCTTGTTTCCAGAGAGTGTATGAGATTTTGTGCAAAAGTGGCTGCGGCAGGAGTACTTCAAGCAGTCGACCACTCGCCTGTACTTCATCCTCGACAAAATCAACGAGATGACCGTCGAGATCCTGGGCTTTGCATGGGTTTTTCAAAGTCCGTTGCGAACTGCTGCCCAGCAGGCAGCCTCTTGCTGTCACTGGACCATCTCGAAGTTGTGTGAAGTTGCGTTTCGAGCCCTCAGGATGTTTGCCAGCCCATTGAAGCTGGTTGAGGAAATTTCGGCCGTAGGCCCGGCTTCAGCTTCCATGACCATGAGGCTATTTGCTGGCATGTGCTCTCTTCGCTTTTCTCCGTTTTTGTCGGCATGTCGCCATGGATTCCTCTTTGCTGCCATGCGAAAAGCCTATGTCCCCCGCCAATGGCGCCGTCTAGTCGCTGTCGCTGCACGTTGCCGATGTGTCGCAGGTCTTCGTCACGTCGGCTACGGTGTGCCCATTGAGCTCCTCGGAGTCTCCATTCCACGGAGTGAATCCCTGGAGTCTGAAAAATCGTGTCGTCCTGTTCCCCCCCCATTCCCACATGCAGTGCCAGACTGGGGCTTTTACGCTCATTTCCAGGTTGATCCCACCCTTCGTCGCTTGCCTCAGCGACACCATGGCCGAGTTCACTACGGACGACACATGGCTTCAGGGCGCAGGGCAATGCTCTGTCAGCACCGTGATGGAAAGATAGGATAGCCACACAATCTGCACATGAGAATCACAGACATGCCGTTGCAAGCCGTCGGCGGCTGTCGGGGCACCTTTCACATGTCCCTCATCAATACATCACAACAAAAGAGCTGAGCATCCAGTCCACCTGCATCCGTGCCCAGCGAGCCGCATGACCGGTCCTGTTACGCGTTTGGACGTGATGGGAATGTTTCCAACACGTTTCCCTCCCAGCTTTTTTGCAGAAGTCGTAGGGAAGACTGCAAAACGTTTTTTGCTTGCAGTTCCGATTGCTTGGCGTTGTGGGCAAAAGATGGCAAAAGCCTAACGGGCAGGTCTAGCCTAGAACGACTTATGCACAACTCAGGACATGGCCGCCAAGGCTTACAGCTGGTGGCTTGGCGGGAATGTTGGTGTGTGCAGCTTCCTCGAGCGAAGAGCTTTGACGCCATCTCCTCTCATGCCGGTTCTGACGCCAGGGATCCTCCACACTTTGTGTCTAACGCGAGAAATACTGATGTTGTCCTGAGGTGCCTGACCCTGATCTCCAAGATCCTGAACCGGGTCATCATGGAAGGCCCTCCCTCGGGTCTTGAAGCAAGTCTAGAGAAGGTATCAAGAGACCTTCCTCAGGATCCACGGTGGTCATGAAGGCGATCAACACGAACAGCGAGGCTGGACATGGCTGAGCCGAACCTGAGCCGTTCGGGCTCCTTTAAAACTGCTGGGGGCAGGTGGAGCTGAAGAAGGCCATCTCTTTGGCGCCTCGTGGCCAGCGTGCAAAGCAACTCCTCGAGGTTTCCGTCGCGTGGCTGCCAGCTTGTTCCGGTCCACTGCTGCGCTCACCCCTTTGTCAGGGGCAGGAAGAGACATGAAGAGACAAACTTGCCGGGGTGCCGTCCAGCCGAGCAGGTGTCAATGTGTCCTTGTGAGCCTAGCGGCAATCTTGTGCGATGCTTGCCTTGTCTGTGGTGTTCGTGGTATTACAGCCCCCAGACACATGAAGCCACGTGGGGTGGCTAGAAAATACTGGGCCCCGCGTTATATTCGGAAAGGGAGAGCTAGGACAATACCCTCGCTTGCTCCATCTGCTCCGGTAAGGTGGGAACACAGTCCATCTCTCCGCTGTACTGGGCCATCGATAGCGGGAGTTTGTCAGTGGCCAACGCAATTATTGAGGAGTCCTGCAAGTCCGAGGCCAGAGGCTGCGGCACATCATGGCACCTGATACGTCAGCCAGGACCTTCTGATCATCCGAGCAGATCGCGACGTGTACTACTATGGCTGCGACGCACTGTTCACGCGGCATCCGGAGGCAGGGACCTCTACTTTGTGAAGTCATTTTGTGGAATCGCGGTCGCCTTGGTGCAGTCCCAGAGGTCCTTCATCGCCTTTGCAACAGCTGCCAGATTGCAGAGGTGTAAATTGTCACATTCTGAGGGACTGTTGTAAGAATCTGTTGGGCAAGCGGTCCAGTCTGCTCGGGAAAGGATCCGAATCCGAGGTGCCCCAACACTTCTCTTGCCACTCTTCGATGGTCTGATTTGGCGCTCGCGTGCCTTTGTCATGATTGTCCTTTGAGTGAGAGGGTACTCCCCGGCTTGTGCGGCCACGTTGCATGTCCTGGTCTCTGCGAGGCCTTACGAGCCACGGCTTTCGACGCGTCAATTATTACGTGAAGCACCTAATTCAGGACCGCTGGTCTGGTGGGGGGCTCTTGCAGCAGCAAGCAGAACAACATCAGCGATAACGTTGGCACTCCTATTCCTGCTCGTCTGCTCCTACTCTTCCTTCCGCTCCTCCTGCTTCTCCTACTACTCCTAGTGCTCCTACGGCTCTTTGAGCTCCTCTCCTCCTGCTCCTCCTCCTGCTCCTACTCATGCCTTGCCTACTCAATTCTTCCTCCGCCTACCCTTGCTCCTCGCGCTTATAGTCCTCTCACTTGTGCTGCTTACTACTTTTCCGACTCGTCCTCCTCCTCCTCCTCCTCCTACGCCTCATACTCCTATCAACAGCAACAACAACCATTACTTCCAATACTACTACTACTACTACTACTACTACTACTACTACTACAACGACGACGACGACGACGGCGACGACAACGACTACCACTACGACGACGACGACGACTTCGACTACGACGACGACGACCA